GAACATTCTTTACCACTGAGCTATAGCCCAGGCCTTACTGCTTTCTGTCTCCATGAATTCCACTCTGTACTTCAAATGAGTGAACTCATGCAGCATTTTCTTTTTATCAGTAGCTTATTCCACTGGGCATAACATCCTTAAGTTTTATTCATGTTGTAATAGGTGTCAGAATTTCCTTTTTAAGGAAAATTCTGCTGCCTATCCATTGACCTATTGGTGGACATGTGGATTGCTTCCACTTTTTTTTTTTTTTTTGTCTTTTTGAGGCAGGGTCTCACTATGCAGTTCAGGCTGGCCTTGAACTCTCTTTGTAGCTCAGGCTGGTCTCGAACTCACGAAGATCCTTCTGCCTCAGCCTCCTAAGTGCTGGGATTACAGGCATGTGCCACCATGCCCAGCTTGCTTCCACTTTCTTGTTCACAGTCTTTCAAATCACCGGATCCCTGGTGAGTCCATAACCCAGAATGATCTCTGAGAATAAAGAACCACCTATTCAAGAACTGCTTCTGCAGGAGAGGACAGCCTGGCCCCTGGAGGTTTATGGTTGGGGGTTGGGAGGTTGTTCATTAACTGTGGGATGGGGACAAGTATAAATCCTACATACCAGAAGAGCAATGACAGTTTAGCAAGAGAATAGAAACTGTAATTCATACACTTTCAAAATTAAGAATAAGGAGCCAGGTGTGTAGGTGCATGCCTGTGATCCCAGCACTTGGGAGGCTGAGGCAACAGGATGGCCATGAGTTCAAGGCCAGCCTGGGCTACATAGTGACATAGTGAATTCAAGGCCAGTCTGCACTACAAAGTGAAACCCTGTCTCAAAGAACAAGGGGAAGGAGGCTGCAATTGTAGCTCAACGGCAGAGCACTTACTTGGCCCTGGGTTAAAAGGGGGTGGGGCTAGAAAAAGAATTAAAATGTGTTATGTACCTATACCACCTCCCTATGATGAATGTAATCATCATATACTACAAACACATACTAATAAAAATTAAAAAAAAATTAAGGACAAGGATTCTCATGCCAATAGAACCACACAATAAAACCAACAAGGATAATGCTCTCCATGTTCCATTCCGTTTTTTTGTTTTTTTCTTTGGTGCTGAGAATGAACTCAAGGCTTCATACATGTGGAGGAATGCTCTACCAATGACTACACCCCAACCAGTTTTATCTAATTTTACAATCTTCCCTGAACTTTTGCCCAAATCACTCACCTTCCTCCAACAGCTGAGAGTGTCAGATCTATGAACTAGCACCCCTAGCCCTCATTATAGCCCCTACCCTGTTTTATTTTCCTCTAGAGCCCTCATCCACCCCTGGCATGTTACCTACGTTTTTGTCTTGTCTGTTTTTCATTGTCCAATCTGGGCAGGCCTGCCCTGGCCACACCTGCCTGCTTAGACCTACTATCAGGGAAAGCAGGAAATGCCTTTTTGACCCTGCAGGCCTGGAATCTAGGTTCTGCCTGTTCCATTTATTCCTTTTTCATTCCCCAGAGCACCCTAGTGTGTGCACCAAAAATCCATAGGAGTCATTCTTCCAGGGCACCAGGGATCAGTGCCAGGTGTGGCAAATCTGATGCTGAGCTACACTCTTCCTGTAGTGTTGCTCCCATAAATCCTAATCCCAGAGGCCTTAGGAAATTTTATTTAATTTAATTAATTTATTTATTTATTTATTGTGGTTTTTTTCTAGTACCAGGAATTGAACTCACGACCTTGTGCTTGCCAGGCAGGCACTGTGCCACTGAGCTAAATCCCCAGCCCCTTATTTTTTTATTTATTTTATTTTATTTTTTTTTTTGGTTCTTAGAAAATTTTAGTGAATAACTAAAGAAGAATAAGCCGGGCGTGGTGGTGCACGCCTATAATCCCAGCACTCGGGAGGCTGAGGCAGGAGGATTGTTGCGAGTTTGAGACCAGCCTGCGCTACAAAGTGAGCTCAAGGC